AGCAGAATAATGCTAGCAAATACTGTTAGATTCTGCATAACATTAGCATCCTATTCTATAAGCAGCTTACAGAGAAACGCGGTATTAGCATATAGATGCAGGATAGAGCCCCTATTTATACTACAAAGGCTACCTAAAAGTATATAGACAACTATAGCATAATACAGATAAATTAGCCTCTATAAAGTCCTAATTTAAACCTAATTAAGAACCTCTAGCAGATTATAAAGCTCTACATTTTAAAGCAATAAGAATATATTACTACTTGTAAGCAGATAGTAGATATCCTTAAAGAGGAATAGGCAAAGATTACACTAGCTAATTATAGGAAGAGTATCCTAAGCTAGTTAAAGCGCATAAAGGAAGTTATCTAAAACAAAGGCAGGTTAACTTACTATTAATTAACTATAACGCTAGAAAATAGGCCTTAACATAGGCTTTTTATAGAACTAAAAATCTTTTAATTTAGGTAGTAATTAGTTAAGTAACCTCTTTCCTAAATGGGCTGACTATACCCCTGCAGAGCTTGGATCGTTGAGTGGCTAATGACTTTTGGTAGGCGACTGTACAGTTAACTACTACCACCCAGACAACTGCCGTACAAACGCAACTAGCACCCAACACCCCCCCCCCCCTAGGGATTAATTGCTTGCACAAAAGGCGATTAACTAACACCTCCCCCCCTCTAGGGATTAATTGCTCGCACGAAAGGCGATTAACTAACACCTCTCCCCCACTAGACAACTACTGTACAAATGCAACTAGCACCCCCCTTAGACAACAGCTATATAAATAAAGCAACTAGCAAACCTTTACTTTATTATAAGATACTTATATAATAAACTAGTAAAGATAACCTATGTGTTTAAAATAATACTATAAAAAAAAGTTAACTTTACCCTTCTAGTAAACTACCTTAACATGTTAATAAATCCCTTTTAAGTATAATAAACTTTATATGTAGTAAATACCCTTGTCTTTATGTGTATAAAAAAGTATAGTCTGTTTAACTTTATAAAAGACTTTAAAAGCTAGATATAACAGGATTTTAATAACTTATTTTATGCATTTAAGTAAGAGCTTCTTTATGCTCTAGCTAAGCACAGGATCTATCCTGTAAGAAAGAGATGCTGTACGTAGGCTAAAAAGCTAGCAGGTGTTGTAAACTAGCAGTACACTATAGGCTCTGTACAAAGAAGAAAAGGAAAGAATGTAGAGAATAGTATAAAAAGAAATAAAAAATAAAGTAAGGTAAGTAAGCAACTTAATTTATAAAATAAAAAGTTACTAGTGTCTATACATAAGTATAGCTAAATTAGGTTACCTAAAATATTAGCTATCTAGCCTATGCGTTAAGGGCTATGTGTACTTAAGAGCTCTTTTTCTTTGTATAAAGAGAGAAGGCAGTAGTTAATAATAAGAAGATCTTTGCCTACTCACCTCTTAGTACGCCCCTTAGGCGTACGTTTGTTCGATCGAACCTAGGTTAACCGACAGTAAGTCTATTTAGTTATATTTTACTTATACTTTACTTTATTTATTAGAACTTACTTTAGTAATGCTATATATTAAAATAAGCTAGTTACACTATATAAATAGCTTTATAAATAGTGTAAAGTATTTTAAGCTATTATTATTTAGCTTTTATACACTTACTTTATAAGTAATTTAGTAGTATATAAGCTATTTTATATAAAGTTTTATGCTAAAATAGTGTAAAATCTTTACATAAGCAGGTATATAAAAAGATGTATATAATAAAGGTTTTTTTTTTTACTTTTTAAGCCTTACTATATAATTCTTTAGCTCTTTTTTCTTTTTATATAGTGCTAATAGTAACAGATACTTCTACCTGCACACACACATACACACATAGAGATGTCTCTCTAGCCTTCCTTCTCTACTTTTAGCGCTGTTAGTGCAGGCGTCTTTAACATCCTTATACAGTCTAGCAGCCTAGAGCGTATTTATGTTACTTTTTTAACTAGTTTTACTACTAATTAGTAGTTTATTTAGTATTTTAGTATAAATATATAAATTTTTTAGCTTTTTTACTTTCTTTTTATATAAAATACTAATTATAAATAAGCTAAGAAGTAGCATACAGCAGCTTTACTATTTTATAATATTAATATTATTTTACTTACTAGCACTAATCTATAGCTATAGGCATTAAAGGTTATGTATTATAAAAAGTACTTTTATATAGTTTTAGTTTAAAGTTATAGTTAAGTTTTAGTAACTTTATATACTTATTATTATAGTAGCACTACTAGTACTTTTTTTTATTAAGTGTTATATGCTAGCTAACTTCTAGGCTAATGCCTACACTTTATGTGTATAGTAGAGCTGTGGTCTACATTATAACTACTACACATGAGAGGTGGTGTGTTTTAGAGAGGGGGGAGAAGTAGTAGCTTTTTTTTTTATATACTAAATAAATAAACTATTTTTTTTATATATTCTTTTTTTTTAATCTTATAATTAAAAAAATAAGTGCATATAATAAAAAAATAAAAGAAATAAGCTTTATATAAAAGTGTTATTAGTCTAGTTAGTCTAAAGCATCTTTACGCATAAGATCTAGCTAGTCTACAAATGCTTCTATCTAGATAAAGAGGTAGTTAGTTAGAACTAATAATTAAAAAGCCTAATTTAGTGTTTTTTTATACATACATTTACTAAGTTATTTTTATTATTAATTTACTTTATTTTAGTAATTTTTTTTATATAATTTATAAAGTAACATAATGTTAATTATAAGTTACTTTTTACTAGTAGTGCTTAGCTTAATAAAGTAATTATATAAAAACTTTAAATTTATATAAATTACTACTAAAATTAGTAACGTACTTCACAGGCAAGTTGCTTACACACCTAAGTTGCTTACTTTTGCTAAGACCCTACTAAACTACTTTTTCTACACTAATGCATTCCCTATAACACTACTTAGACGTGCTAAAAGAATATTAGATACAGCTTACACTTTAAGCTTTTAAATAAGACATAAAACTTTTAAAAAATATGCTACAGCTATATATAAAGTTTTATAAAAAATAATAAATAACTATAGCACTAGATAACCTTTATAAGCTAATTTTATAGCTAAATTATAAAGGCTAAGTAATAAAAAAAAGTAGGTAATTATTAAGACTATACTTAAGCTATATGCGTAAGAAATTTTCTCTTAAATAGCATTTATAGCATTTATAGCTAATTCTTTACGCGCTAAGTGTAATTTAGGCTATGTTTATATAAACTAGCCTAGTATGTTTATAAAGTGTTATTTAAAGCTTAAAGTAAAGTTTTAAGTGTAAGTATAGTTAAAAAATATTTAGCTAATTATAAAGCCTATTTTACTAAAGTTATATGTGTTATTATCTTAAATACTATACTTAGCTTTAATATTCTTTATAAGGCTAAACTTACCTTAAATTACTCTAAAACTCTTATAAAAGGCTTTTTTATAGTTATACTTATGCTTAAATGTTACTTTAAGCTCTAAATAACACTTTATAAACATACTAGGCTAGTTTATGTAAATATAGCCTAGATTATGCTTAGCGTGCAAAGAATTAGCTATATTAGCTATAAATACTATCTAAAGGGAAATTCCTTGTGTATATAGCTTAAGTATAGTTTTAATAATTACCTGCTTTTTTTTATTACCTAGCTTTTATAATTTAGCTATAAAATTAGCTTATAAAAGTTATCTAGTGCTATAGTTATTTATTATTTTTTATAAGACCTTATATATAGCTGCAGCATGTTTCTTTAAGAGTTTTATGTCTTATTTAAAAGCTTAGAGTGTAAGCTGTATCTAACATTCTTTTAGCACATCTAAGTAGTGTTATAGGGAATGCATTAGTGTAGAAAGAGTAGTTTAGTAGGGTCTTAGTAAAAGTAAGCAACTTAGGTGTGTAAGCAACTTGCCTGTGAAGTACGTTAATACTATTTATATATTTACACTATATATACCTCTAACTCTGTCTAACAGGACTGTTTAACCTAGCTACTATACTGCTGCCTAAGGGTAAACTATAATCTAGTCACTCTCCCTCACTCTATTAGCCTAATAGCCTTTACGTAGGACTGTACACCCTGCTGTTGGCCCCTACTATTTGTCCTCCCTCACCAGGAATATCATTGACCTGAGTGCTTCCACGAAGCAAGGATTGTAACAGTATGTTCTACAACTACAAGAGAGCCTTTTTTAGTAGGAGAAGAACTTACTACTTTACTAGAAACTACCTTTTTAAAGAGATAATTAAGGCTTTTTAATTATAAAAGAATAAGCTTTATTAAAGAGTAATTTACTCTAAGCTCTTAGCTTTTTTAGATTATATTTATTCTAGCATTATGTTATAACTTCTGCTAAGTTATTAAGCTGTATAAAGATTCTTAATTATTATAGTTAAGACTTGTAAGTAGTCCTTATATTAATTGTATAGTAGAAACGTACTAAGATAGTCAGACATAACGTCCTAGATTTGGTCGAGTCGAATCGTATTACGTACGGTTGGAAGCGCTGGCCGTTACACCCTGTACCCCTAGAGGCTCCACGCCACTGCACCACCACTTAGGCTTACAGTAGGATACAATGTTGTGTAGATTTTAAGCTAGAGGCCTCCTCAGCCGAATTGCCCAATATTTGAGCTAAGTGAATTAGGCTAGAACAAAACCTTGAGAATCTGCTAAGGACTCTTTTAACCGGGCAACGCTGAATGAACAGAATGAGTTATTTCACGGTTCTATTTACCCTCCCATAAAATCTTGTCTTTAGTTGTTTGGAGCTGTAGACTTTCAGATCGCAAGAAAAGGTGATGTGGAGGGTGAAGTTGGGCAAGGGATTTTAAAACGCTCTTTAAGAATCTGAATGGAACATAGCAAAACAGAAACAATTAATTCCTCCATGTTCTGGATTTCAAGGCCAAATACAAGGGTACGCATCTTCGATGCGCCTCTCCCTACACATAACTACTAAATTTATAGCCCCTCATCTACCACCCATGCCCAAGAAATACTCCCCTCTCTCCACCTCGTCCACCTCTCCCACCCCTTCCGTGTCTAAAATTTCCACCTCTAACATTCCCACCGCCCCGCCTAGCAGATGATTCCTGCCCTCTCGTCCTCTTGTTTCTGCCATCACTTGGATCCTTCCACCTTTCATCCAACCCCTTGAACCGCGCGTAATCCCTCGCTTTTGCATTCTTCTCGACGCCCGTTCCAACTCCATCCTGGATCACCAAGTGCATGCCCAGTCCTTCATCGGTGCCTTGCTCATACATCCCCAAGTTTAAGGAATTGTCAAATGGATTGTATGAACTTTTGACATCGATTTCTCCAGTGTCTGGGAAGCGATTGATAGCTGAGGCGAAGACTGGGTCCGGATATTTGTCTACAATAGAGAGGAAATCGACGCTTACGACTGCACCTTCTACGCCGGCGTAGAGAGAAGGGGATGTCGCGGAAGGGATGGAAAGGCTGTAGATTGGTGAGTTGGGGGTCGAGGATCTATAGTATGACGCTCGAAGGTTGGAGTTTCGTACGTGATTTCTTGGGCTCAGGTAGAGATTCCAGCCGCCGGAGACTGGAGAATTTTTCAAATTCTTTCCTTCGGGGCACAAGGCTTTGGGTTCCTTGGGCCCCATTTTAGAAGAAAAAGGGATATAGTGGTATGCATGCGAGCTAGAGAAACGCAAGTCAAACACTTTTAGCATACTATGCATCGAGGTGCCAGCAACCACACGCTCAAGGCCTTGCATTGCAAGCGAATATATTGCAGAGTCGTTGGTGACATCCCAGAACAACGTTTCGAACCCTCGTGGAGAGCGCATGTCATGTAGTCGGATAATTCCATCGTATCCTCCAGAAAGGAATACATGGCCTGTTTCAGAACCACCATGAGACCCAGGAGTGATTGGAAGAACGGGGTACACGGATGTGTTGCTCCTCATAAGCCAATCATCTCTTTCACCAGTCCAGAACTTGGAATCGGGACTAAACTTGCGCAGAGGCTCCGAAGAGAAGCCTGTCGGCGTGACTTCGTAGACTTGAATGGGCTCGTAAGATGGGCCTAATCCAACAGCTACTTGTTCATTGGAGATAAAACTGCAAGACCAAAGTCGTCCGTCCCGGGTCCCAGGGACGATTGGTGTAACTTCGCTTAATGAATCGACAAGGGCTGAGGGAGAATTATTAGGCTTGATCGGAAAAAGGGAGAGTGATGAGTCGCCGAGGGTCGCCGCCATCAATGGTCGGCTCGAAGGGGAAATAGACAAAGACCCAACAGACCGATGGCCAGTCCTGTACAAGTGCCCTTTCCTTTGATGTCGCTCTGGGTCGAAGGACAGAAGCGATAGATAACCTGAGGCGCTGCCAAAAGCGACAGCGTCCAATTCGCCATCTTTCTGATGTGGCCGAAGGAGCTTTAGTGCTGTGATATCATCTCGGCCCTCAGAGCTTCTAGGTATTTTATACGTGTACCAAGATGCTAGATGCTTGTAGTCGTTGAACTCCTCCAGGTGCCCAATAGCCGATTCTGAGTCTTGGAGCGCTTCCCAGGCTTTGATTGGCTTTGAGCCTGTCTCTTTGACTCTAACAACAACATGTGTTCCCGCAGACCAGGCGAGGACCTCCCTCCTATTTGCCCACTGCCCAAGCATCTCCTCATAGCTGTCAATACTCGGCTGGTAACCCATTGTCTGACCCTGGGGGCCTCTCCACTTCGTCCTCTCCCATGTGCTAAGATTCGTCGTGTTGGCTGAGGGTTCTAAGTACCTCGCAACCAAGGCTTTGCGATCCCAGTTCCGATACAGCGTTGTGAGACCATGAACTGAGTTTCGAGCGTCTAAATCTAAGCCTAGGAGGCCAAAACGTCCTCTCAGAAACGCTTTCCACCCATCGGGTTTAGCGAACTCGTAGAGTCTACGACTGCTCAATGAGAGATGCAGAACATCGGAGGGGCGGTCCAGGTAACCAGTGACCTGTGACAAGATCTCGTTCGGGAGGTTGCAAAGTAGTGCCATCTCAGAAAGGGTTGATATGGAAAAACTTGAAGACACTCCAAATGAAGCCAGTGATGAGGTTGGCAGGAGCAAGAAAGGCTACATTCCAGCTGTTGACTAGAATCGCTATGACTCTTAAGCCATGGCGGCAGAAGCTTCGTGTCGCGTGGTGTTATCGATAACGGCTAAGATTGCCTTGTAAGAAGGGGTTAGCCCAAGCAATTGAGGTTGACAGATCCTAAGTGCACTCCTCCTCCACTTTTTCTTCAACCTAGTTTCAACGACCTTTCATCCTTCTTCTAGAACCGGAAGTCGCGGTTTTTCTTTAACTGCCTCGTGTTGTTATCGACACCGGCCTTCCGAGGTCTTATTAGCCGATCCTCCGTATTGCACGTGATTTCGGCTCCGGTACCGTGATTAATCAGCTAACGCACGGTCTCACCTGACGCACAGTTTTTATCTACAGTCCACCCGCTCTAACTTTTTAGCTACTATAGCTATATACCTAAAAT